GTCTACATTGATAAATAATGTTTATTTTTCTTAACTTCAATGATACAACATAAATTCATAAATGATCTAGGTTTAAAACTGAATTGATATTTTTTCTTTCCTGGGAAACTGTAGGCACTCAGGCCTAGGCTATGTGATTCCATAAAATGTCTTCAATTTAGGTTCACTTACTGCATCATGATAAAGTTAATTAAAATAATTTTATTTATAAGAACTATTGTAATCACAAAAAATATCTTACTTTGTTGTTTCTAGCTTGTAAACTGTTTGTTACAGAGAAATACACCCGTAATATAACCAATTCGTCTATCCGGAACCACAAACACGAAACAGGACATCTCATAACTAGCTCAGGATTCACCATTCTTTGTAATGGTAATTCCGACCTGGAACTGTTACTCAAAGATAGTCTATCCATAAAAGAAATTTCCTGTGTTTTAAATACAACATAGTCCTCCTATATTAATTTGTTTTAAAGAAACAAATACTATAAAAAAAAGAATTTATAACAAATCACTTTATAAATAGGATGTTCATAAAATAAAATAATATATATATATAATAAAAACAAAACAAAATGTAAAGGTTTTAATCTTATTTCTTCGTCCCCACAGATGGTTTTTTGTAAATAGTCAATAATACTGTTGTTTGATTTTATTGTTGTTCTCCCTGCACACGATTAGAACATTATTTTAATCTTATTCTTGAATATGTCAAATTATCGTTATTTTATCTTGCATGGCCATTTTTATATATACGTATGTATTTCTCTGTAATAAACATTTTAGAAGTTAGAAACAATGAAGTACTATATTTTTCGTGACTACAATAGTTCATATTTTTCTTATAAAACTGCATTTCCCTGATGGAAAATCTCTGGCCAACATATTGATTGGAAAGTATGATCAAAATGCATTGTTATATATATATTTTTGTAGTTGTTTAATGAAGACAAGTGTGATCTTGAGTTGCAGACAAATGCAAAATAAAAGTTGCCAAGGATTTCAAGGAAGTAGTTATTTCAATAAGGAAAATTGCATTTCATTTGTTTTTAAGCAAAGGAAGCTGACTGCAATGCACTGTTGGCAAGAATATTTGGGTTTTGATGTAATGGGTACATTACATGGGCTGATTAAGTCTCTGACTATGGGCTAGGTCCCAGGAACTGACCTCGTAACCATTTTGTGTTTGTTATAGTTTTCATGCTATAACTCTTAAAACAGTAAACGTATCTTCACAAAAATTTTGCAGATTATTTGTAAATATTACAAGGCTTTCATGCAAAAAAATATCAAATTTTTCAAATTAAGTTTTAAGATTTTTTTAATTAATGATTTGCTCATGCATTTTTTCTTTTCAAATGTTGACTATCCAACATGCAAAGTAATTTTTATTTTAAGATTGAAAATACTTTTATGCATTAGAAAATTTTCAAATTTCACATGCAAAATCTTTATAACCTCCAGATAATCATCAAATGTTTTTTATAAAAAACTTTATTTATATTTTATCTGTTATTTTCACTATTTTATCTCTATGGGTTTGATTGATTTGACCAACCTCGTAACCACCATAAAAAAATTAGGAAAGAGATATAAATTATGCTTTTTTCATTCTAGAATGACTACAACTCATAACACACACAAAAACGTTTAGTCTAAATAGCTTAAATTTCATAACAATATCCATCTAAATATATTTATTTTATTGATCTTTCAGCTGCGTCTGATTAAAATTACAGAAGTAACAATGACACAGCTCACATGCACTCATGTTACCATATCCAAGAATAAAAAACTGGCTTTTACAAAGTGACCTATCTTGGCTGTGTTTTAGTGGATCAGTATTTTATAAAATACACTCAAATTTTGTTTATAATACATCACATATGTATATACATTATTAATATTTACAAATAAGTTCTTAAATTTCAGTTATTTTTCTTAGAACACAGAACACAAAAAATACATAAGAATAGAAAACAATTATCTCTTCTAGTTACGAACTTGGTACTCACCTGCTGCTTGCTGTAATTTGCTAAGCCTTTTTGAACATGGAGGATGCAAAACAAAATAAGTTTAAGGTTTTATGTTTTGATGTGGGTCTAAAAAAATATGAGTTTTGGAGCTCACTAATGTCTTATCTTACCACTTGGAATCTAGCATGAAAACAGAGGGTTCCCATGTAAATACTTCACAGAGGCTGAGAAAACCACTGGGAGACATTCTGAGCTTTTGACTGGTTATACACACACCACTGGGCGAAGTAGGTGTTCGTAAGCAAGTATTTTCAAAAATGGAATAGGTGGGCAGGGACACCTTGGTTGATTCACTAAATATATTAACTCTCTCAACTTGACCGACCACGTGACCTCTTTTTACTCATTCAGAGTCTTTAGAGATTTGATAGTACTATATAGCGTGTATATCTTCACAAAATTTGACAGTCTTTCAGTAAACATTAAGTCTTTCACATACAAATAATCACATTTTTAGTAAAGTATTTTTAATAAACTAAAATAGATTTGCCCTGGAATATATCAAGTATTTGTTTTGGATAGTCCATGTGCAAAGTAATTTTCATGTTAAGATTAAAATTACTTTTCTTCATTTCAAAAATCTGAAATTTCATTTGTGTAATCTCCAAACCTCCTCAATACATTTAAAATGTTTGTTTTCAGTAAAACTTAATGTTTTTTCTGTAATTTTCTCTTCCTTAACTCAAAAGAAGGTTGGTCAATTTGACCGACTTTGGAACCACCACCACCAAAAAAAAAAAAAAAAAAAATTACTAAATAAACCTAAATTACCCTCTTTTTCTTTCTAGAGTGACTTCAAATATAGTGTGAAACTGCATTTGTTTATCCTTAGTAGCTTTAAACTTGTAACACTATACACCTATTTATAATTACATTTTATTGTTTTATTGCCTTCTGAACCATGTATAACTACTATTCGCACCTTATAAGTTTTAAATCACTTGGGAAACATGCAGCTCACATTACGCTATCAAATTACATTACCCATGAGCTGCTCGCTTGCGTTCTTCGTGAACAATTTTAATTCTATTATTATTATTACTTATTTTACCTAATCTAGTCTTAAATAAGTTAAAAAGATGCGTATTTTTGATTTTAGTTATTTTTATAATAAAGAATATGAAAAACAAGAAATTAAGTACTTACCCAAGTTTTGTTTTCTTTTCGCTACCAACTACTGATGATACTTAACCCCACTTTTTATACTAATTGTAGTAGTGCATTAAATAATTGTTATTTAATTAAATAATGCATGAAAGACTACAGACTAATAACATGCAAAAAGCAGACAATTTCCTCTAACATTACAATTTTTCTGGCTTTCTAACTATGCAACAAGAGACGTTACAAATTTATCCAAGTTAGTCATTAGCTCTCCCATGGGAATGGAGCTTGTACTCTGAGTGAAAGTGATGAATATCTGTTCAGAACACAACATTATACAGAATTAAGAACTTAAAATATATATACTATTAAGATATGGATTATTAGCTAAGATTTTATGCTATACTAATTAGTATAACATAAAGAAAAGGTAGTTTAATAAAATTTTGAATGTAATACTCTAAAACGTTGTGTCATGTGCAGTAGAGGATATCCATGGTTATAGGGTTAATATCTCAGAAACTAGAAAAAAAGATATATTCTATCTTATCAATATCAGTAATTTGAGTTCCTAATTTGTAAGCAACTATAAATTTTATATTTGAACATCACAAACATCTAATTTGAACCAAAACTGCATCAATCTTTAGGAATATTTTCTCATACTTATTTTTAAATTCAGAAATTAATAAACGTATAATACTAAAATTTTAATTATATTCTATAATTTGACACTAGAAAAAAGATAGGAGGTTCTTATCTTATATTCTATTTTGTCAATATCAGTAATTTGAGTTTCTAATTTGTAAGAAACTATAGACTTTGCATTTTGACATCATAAACATCTAATTTGAACCAAAGCTGCATCAATTTTTAGGAATATTTTTTTATACTTACTTTTAAATTCAGAAATTAATAAATGTATAATACTAAAATCTGAATTATAATCTACAATTTGACACCAAACATATTGATATACATTCATAAAATATTAGTTCAATAAAATTTTGAATGGTGAGCCCACAAACATGTGACCATAGGAAGACTCATAGAGATAGGGTTAAAATAAAAGGCAAGTTTAATATTTACAAAAATAATCAATGATACACATATTTTCTTATTTGATTTATATGTTTTCATACACAAGTATAACACATAGTAACAAGAGCAATCAGAGATTTCATACCCTCACCCTGCTGCTCCTTTTCGAGATTGCATGAGTTTATATTAGATAACACAAAATTCCACCTTCGAAAACTCAGAAAATCTTTCTCAAATACAGAATGATCAACAATCAGGACCATTTTTAGTGGCGTGATGAAGAGTTCGTCAACCTTCATGTGCCTATGAAATTTGGTACAAATCAGGTAACACTTTACAGAGTTATAAACTGAAAACTGCAAAAATGCCCTATCTCCCCATTATAAAAAATGCTTCAAAATGATCCAAACCAAATTTGGGTAGGACTGTCCTCTATTGACTTCCCATCTTGTGTAATATTCTTGTGTACCTCAGTTTATTAGTTTTTGAGATACACGCACAGAAACACAGACACACACACACCCAATTCCAAGCATTTGTTTAAAACACAGTTTTGTTCCTTATGTACACAAGTCACCCAAACTAAAATGAAATCCTGGGTCTGTTTAACATTTTTGTTAAAGTCTGACACTATACAGGTTTATTAGTACCCCACAAAAGTCAGCTGGCTGACACCATAAGTATATAAAGGCAGTATGGCATCTCCTCAAACATAGTTTTTACACACATGATTAACTCTAATAGTCTTCTAAGCATGTTACTATATTTGAAGTTTACTTTGAACATCTTCAGAAAGAATAGGTGAACTGTTACTTACAGTTAGAGTTTGTCAGCTTGGGACTTTTCTTCCTTTTCCTTATCCTCTTTCCAGGTGAAATATTTACTGTGTTTGAAATTTCTTTAGACCCTTTAGAAGCTGATGAGATAAAAATATACCATTAGCTCCTAATTAAGCTAACACTCATACAATAGTCAAATTACCATTAAATAGTAACTCCAAAGTTTCAGCTACATTCTAGTTTTATCATTATTCATATTTAAGTTAAAAAAGTACTTGCATTATGATGGATTGCAGTTGTTTTTTCTAACACATTTTCTTTAGTCTGCTATGGATTTTAAATCTAGTTAAACATTTGTAATGGAATAAATGAGAAGAATGCGAAGCAAATAACATATGCAGTTAGGCATGATGTATAATTATTTTCCAAGGTTCTAATTTAATTTCAAATTTTACAATAAATAATATAAAAGCATACAAATGTTCTTTAAACATATAGTAACCCAATGGACAAGTCTAGAGGTGAATTTTAATAAAATTAGTAAGTTCTCTGCAGGAGGATTAGTAAGGCCAAATATGTGGATAGGATAGTCTGTGGGGTAAATAGAGAAAAAAGAATCAGACTATGCTAACCAGGAGCACAGGTGCTAGATATTACTGACAGAACAGGAGATATAATAAAGGGGCTAGCATAAATGCAGTTTTTGTGGTGCATGTGGGCACTAATGATGTAGAGAAAGATAAGTCATAGGAGCTAATTAATAAGTACATAGGAGTTGATAAAGGCATTTAACTCTTTCAGCATGGGCTCGATCCCTAGGACCGACCTTGTAATCATTTTGTGCTTGTTATAGTTTTCATGCTATGACTTTTAAATTAGTAAGTGAATGTTAATGAAATGTGGCACATTATCAGTAAACATTACAATGTTTTCATATGCAAAATATCAGATTTTTTTTATTAAGTCTTAAGGTTTGTAAACCACTCTTTTTCTTATGCCTTTTTTTTTCTTTCCGCATGTTACCTATCTAACATCCAAAGTAAATTTTATTTTAACACTAAAAATACTTTTATGCATCAGAAACAAAATAAATTTTTTTAGGTTTCATATGTACAATTGAGTAACTAAAAAACCATAAATTACTACATCAATACCACAAAATTCCACTATAATTTATCAAGCTTAGTAACTAAGATGTATTTTAGTCTAAAAAAACATGAAATTTCGAGCACACTAAAGACACACCCTACCTCCTTGAATTATTGGTTGAAAAGAAATAAGGGTATCCAAGTCCATTACTATGTCTGAGAAAGCCACTAGGGGGACATTCTGAGCTTCCAATTGGTTATTCATGTCACAAAGAGAAGTAAGTGTACATAAGAGAGCATTTCCAAAAATGGAAAAAGGTGGGTGGGGTGCCACTGTGTTTGATTTATTATATGAGCAATATCTTATCAAATAGAAAAGATATGATGTTCTTATTTTATATTCTAGCTTGTCACTATTGGTAATCTGAGTTTCTAATTCATACAGGACTATAGACTTAGTATGTTTACTTCCCAAACATCTAATTTGAACCAGTGCTGCATTCAACATACCATGTGACACATAAAAATCGATGTGCTTTTAAATTAAGAAACTGGATAATATATAACACTAAAATTTGAAATATAATCTACAGTTTCATACCAAACTTATTGACATAAATACATGAAATAGTAGTTCAATAAACTTTTGAATATGAGTCAACAAACAAGATGACATGGCCTTTCACTCGTGACCCATCTTAAAAGGGTTAAAAGAATTTACTGATATTTGAGTCTAATAATGTATTTGTCAGAAAAGGATGTAGATGATAGGGAGGTTATACCCTTGACAAGGCATGTGGACAGAATAGTCTGTGGGGTAAATAGGGAGAAAAGAATCAGATTATGCTACCCAGGGGCACAGGTGGAGGACATAACTGACAGAGTAGGAGGATGCTAGCAGTTTTTGTGATGCATATATGGGCTAATGATGTAGGGAAAGGTAGGTCACAAGAGCTAATTAATAAGTATAAGGGGTTGATAAAGGCATTTAAAGAAAATGGCCATAACTTAATTTTGTCAGGAATACTGTCCAGAATTAACTGTGGGGATGAAATTATAAGTAGGTCACTAGGGCTAAATGCTAGGCTTAGGGTAGTATGTAAGGATGAGCACATTGGCTAGTTGTACTTGTGGGATCAGTTTAGTGGAAGAAGGGAGCTTTTTGCAATGATGGTTTACATTTAAATAAGATAGGGGCTGGCTTGTTTTAAACTAAGACTAGATAGTGGTGAGGGTCAGGAAAAACAAAATGTAAAAAAGAATAAGAGGCAAAGAAAAGTTTAGCATAGAAAATGAGTATAGAAGTAGTTATAAGTGTAGGTTTAATTATTACTATTGTAATGGAAGAAGTATAAGAAATAAAATATATGACATCAGAGCACTGGTAGGAATGGAGGGTTTTGATATAATGGGAATAACTGAAACATGGTTAAATGTTTACGATTTTGCAGACAGAAATTTCTTTGAAATACAGGGTTACAGGCTATTTAATAGGGATAGAGTATTCAAGAGGGGAAGAGGAGTGGCTTTATATGTAAAATGTGAGTCACATTCTGTAGAAGTTGAGGATATCAAAGAGATTGAATCTATTTGGGTTTCTATTAGTGGATATAAAGGGAAAAGGCTTTCAGTGAGAATTTGTTACAGACCACCGAATGGTAAGGATGAAATTAGTGAAAAACTTCACAATGAGATTAAGAATTCAGCTGTTAATGAAGTCATAATTATAGGTAATTTTAATTTCAAGCATATAGATTGGAAAATTCTAGAGTCAAACTATGAGGAAGAAAGGTTTTTGGATAGTGTTCAGGATGGCTTTCTTCACCCATTAGTCAAGGAACCTACTAGAAACAATGCCATTTTAGATTAATTGTTAACTTCAAATATAGAAATGATCGAGAGGGTGGAAATTGGGGAACATCTGGGTACAAGTGATCATTGCTCTGTTAGGTTCAATGTTTTGCTGCATATGGAGATAAGGAATAATGATATTTTGTTTAGAAATTTCAAAATAGGAAATATTGAAGGGATGCGACAAGAATTATATGTTGTGAACTGGGCAGCTGAGTTATTTGGAGACACTGATCAGATGTGGAAAATTTTTAAATATTCAAGGTAAACATATTCCTTATAGAAAGTAAAGGGTAGCTGCAAGTAAAAACCCAGATAGGCTAACAAAGAGTTTAAAAGATAAAATTAAAGAAAAGCATAATAAATGTAAGAAATTTAAATTGACTGGAAATTTAGAAG